ATCACCACCATCATCATCATCCACCATAACCATCGAATTTAGTTGGTTCATCATATTCATCCATTACTGATGCGAACGAGGCAAGCAGTCTACAGCGAGGCATCTTTTAACAGAGATCATGTCAATGTACCGTATTAACGATTAGTGCCTTAATTAACATAATGTGTTTCGTAACATGACAAGGGCAACTTAGGAAGGTATTGAAACTGCATGCATGCAAAGTACAACTCTCAATAAATTGCCTCTGGGCTCCGATCCATTAACTGCTCAGATCTGAAAGTCCAAACCTCACGTCCACCTGTCTCTCGCGCACTCGATTCCCATGGACTCCGACCTTCCATCAGCCATCCAACAACAGTCAACTTTTAGAACATTTCACTGAAAGTTGGAGAAGGTGCAAACTGCAAACCACTGCCAGCTGATTCGTCTTTCGTGAGTGGTCTGCTGGCAAGAAATTAAAATTCATTGCCGCGCAAACTGAGAAAAATATTCCAGTTCTGATTGAATTATTTGCATTAGTTTTCGATAGTATCATCGTCATCGTCATCATCATCATCGTCATCGTCATCATCATCGTCATTGTTAAGTGTGCAAGAGCTGTAGAAATTCTGATGCAAATTAATTTTGTTGCTATGTTGCTGAGATTGTGTGGTTTGTGTGTTTGTGTAGTAAGTGTGTTTGTGTGGTGTGTGTGTGTATGTGTGTTTGTCTGGTGCGTGTGTTTGTGTGTATGTGCGTTTATGTGTGCGCATATGCGTGCGCGTATGTAGAAATGTTTGTTGAATTAAATTTTCTTATTGGAAGCAGATGCTAGCATCAGGAGATCAAAAGTTCAACTTGATTCCAACGCGGCAATGTGCTCGCCACTGGTTCGCCATTTTCATTGTTTCAAAATTGACTGCGTAATCAAACAAAATGGAAGTTGATGGCGGGAATATTTGCGTAGCGTGTGACAAGGGGTGATGGTGATGACGCTCGAGCTCTACTCTTCAAAACTTGAGTAAATGATAAATTTTTGAACTATTTGTCGACACGAACATGCACGGTTGCTCACTTCCTCATCAATTCATTACTTTTTTGAATTGAATGCATCGTTCTCCTCATGAGAACAAAAACCTATCCTGTTGACTTGCAACCTGGAAATTCTACATTGCACGTTTCGCAATTCGATATACATTTACTGTCACACACAGACAGACACACACACACACACAAAGACAAAAACACACACCCACAAACACACATACAAAAAGACAGACACACACACACGCAAACAAACACACGCATACAAACACAAACACATATTATTTACACGAAACAAATTAAAGAAAGCGTAAGCATACACATACACACACACACACAGACACACAACTCACACACGCACACACACACACACACACAAAACAAACAAAATTATAAATGACTTCCACATCTCAATTGCAAGTTGCCAACCCAGAGAGATGAGTTTTAATAACATTTCACAATATTAAAAAACTGTTGAAACACTAAAAGACCCGGAAAGCTCATCAACTCATTTCATGATACATAGTTCAATTCTTATTGCATTCTTTTTGGCAAGCCTTTTTCATCTTCTCACAGGTTTAAAATTACTGTTCAGCGTATTGAAAGATGTCTCATTAATCAAATAACATCAAAGGGCCATCAATGGACCATGTCAGTTAATTTAACCCGATCCTAAATTTTTATTAAAAAAAAAAACAATTAAAAATAAGCGAATGAGCAAATATTATTATTATTTATAATATTGTTATTATTATTACTATTGATATTATTATTACTGCTTTTGACTTTGAACAAGAGAGTCGCTTTTATGTAGCTCACTGTTTATTTTAACAATATAAGGTTTTATAACGTGTTATATATTTAAATTTTATATCAAATTGTAGGAAAATTGATAAAGAAAATGGCTGTGTTTTTAAAATTTGGTTTTATCAATTATTTTAAATTTAATAGTCTAAATTAGTTTAATTTTAATTTCTTTTAACAATGTAAACGCAACAATTAGCCCATATTGCTATAAGGACTTAAATTTTATTAATAGACACTCCTGGCGGTGTACAGCAATTCATTCTAACTCTAATGAAAATATTTCACCAAACAATAACGTTAACATTTCTTCCAATTTATTAACAAATAATCATAATATTTTACCTGATAATTTAAATAATATGATGACTTGTTGTTGTGGTAAAACTTGCAAGGGTCGGAAAGGACTGTTGATGCATCAAAGATCATGTAAATCGTACAAATCGCTCAGATCCACGAAGTCCGAAGTGGAACCAGTCGACAGCGGTGACAACAATGCAACAACATTTCAACACACATCAGATTCAACAACTATTCCAAAACCACTACCGGGTATAAAACTACCCAAATCGTCAACACTTTGGGCTGAAGCCAACGCATTTTTTCATATTGAACTAAAACGTCTTGATAACTGTGCTGATGTTGACAACTTCGCCATCAAATTTCAAAACATAATTTACACATATTTTGCGTCAAATTATGGAACGTTAACAAAAGATTCAACACCCAAAAAGCACAAAAATTGCAATATTAGACATTTAAAAACAAAATTAAAAAACTTAAAGACATTGGCTCAGTCAGATAGCCAACTCAACAGTGACGTCATCAAGCTCAGCAGGCAGATAAGGGCAACATTAAAAACTAATAAAGTATCTAAAAATAAAGACAACATTTCAACTAAACTGAAACAGAACTTCTGGAAAACATGAAATAATATTTTTAACAAATCTAATTCTCAATCGCCACTCTTCAACATGGAAACAGCAACTAACTTCTTTAAAAATCTACTAAACGCAGGTGATCGTACCACGTTTCGTCTCCCAAATTGGATCCCTCTCCTTCCTTCTCCGTCGTTTCAAGGAAATTTAAATCCGCCAACCTACAATGAGATTACTGCAATTGTCAAGAAAAGCAAAGCAAAGGCATCTCCTTGTCCTCTGGACCAAATTTCAATTATAGTTTTCAAAAGATGCCCAATATTGAGAACATACCTTCATAAATTGTTTGTAATGTGTTGGCGTGCTACAATAATTGCAAAATGCTGGCGTAGAGGATTGATGGTCCTAATCTACAAAAAAGGTGATTCACAAGACCCATCAAATTTTCGTCCAATTACTTTGCAACCAGTAATCTATAAATTATTTTCAACTCTCATAAAATCAAGACTCTACAACTTTCTTGACAAAAACAATTTTATCAACAAAAATATTCAAAAAGGCTTTTACCCAACTGTCGATGGGTTAGCTGAACACACCCAAATGTTAACCCATTTATTAAAAAATGCCAAGCGACATCAACGCACCATTGTTGTTACATTGTTGGACTTAAGAAATGCTTTTGGAGAGGTAAACCATCATCTCATCATTTCGATCTTAAAATACCACCATGTTCCACAAATATTTCATAATATAATAGCATCAATCTATAGCAACTATTCTATATCACTATCGGTTAACGGTGAATTGTCGCAAGCAATACCAGTTAGAAAAGGTGTACTTCAAGGCGACCCCTGTTCACCGCTACTTTTTAATATCTGTTTCAATCCTCTCATGAAAATCTTGGACACCAAAGAATATCAACAATATGGCTATCTCTGGGGCCCAACTTCCAACATAAATACTAGATCATGGCTTCAATTTGCCGACGACCCGGCAGTCATTGCTCACAGCACTGATGGAGCACAAAAACTGATCGATTTGAATCAACTTTGGTGCAACTGGTCAGAAATGAAAATGAGAGTTGATAAATGCTGCTCGTTTGGAATGAGGAAAAAAGATGGCAAATATGTTCAATTCTTGCCACGGTTAACGGTTGAAAATGTACAAATCCCTAACGTGGAAATTGGTCAATCTTTCACGTATCTAGGCAAACTGTACGATTATGAATGCAAAGATTCCAAAGCAAAAAACGAGTTACAGTTGAAGGTCACTTAGTTGTTGGAAAAGATCTCAAAGTTGGATGGGCGCCCAGGCGCCCACAACAGAAGCTACAGGTTTTGAGAAGGTTTGTTCCCACTCAAATAAATTTTGAACTTCGCAGCTACAGTTTCTCGTTGACTTGGATAGCAGAGAATCTGGATAATCTAATTGTTGAAGCTATGCGAAACTGGTTGGATATGCCAATTAGTGGCTGTGTAGCAGAACTAAATTCGCTGCCAGCAAAGATGGGAGGCCATAATATTATGTCCCTAAAAGATACCGCAGAGAAAACGAGATTGAAGCTGCGAAACTATTTTAAAACCAACAAAAACAAAGAAATTCAATGTTTGTACAAAGAATCAACAATCAATTACATCAAAGTTGACAATATCCTTTCAAAATCAAATGCCCTAAAATCATCGCTCAAACAGCTGGAAGATGAAAGAGTTGAATCAAGTCTCAACCACGTTCTTTCGCTTTTGAGTCAAGGCACAATTATATCAAAAATAAAAACCGTCATCAAAACTAATAATATTTCTCGTTGGTCAAAAACTCTGGAGAATCTTGCTGGAGTCCTCTTCAAATTTGCCAGAAAATATTTGGTACAGCAACTGCCAACAAACGCCAATTTGTTTAAATGGGGCAAAACTCCTCTGTGCCCTCTCTGCGGTTGTAAACAAACAAATAAACATGTGATTTCTAACTGCGGTTCCACATCCGCACTTAAAAGATACACTGAAAGACACAATAAAATTTTGGCCGCGATCACCAACCGATTGAAACTGTGTGCGCCTGCCTATTGTCGGTTGTTTGCAGATTTGAAAACTGACGGTGTTCACCCTATATCAGATCTGTTCAACACTCTACGACCTGACATCGCCATCCTACTAGGCAACATAGTAGAGATCTTAGAGTTGACGGTCTGTCATTAAACAAATCTTGAATCATCCAGGCAATACAAGATCAAAAAATATTCAGATAATTTGCACAGTAATCTAAATGACAACTATAAACACTGCACAATAATTATAAATACTTTTGAAATATCACCAATAGGTTTTTATAATAATTTTAATCTTTCACTTTTTAAAATTTTGTGGCCGGATTCTTTCAACGATGAATTGATAGAGACTGTTATAAAGCTATCGTATGGCATATTTTGTGACAGAAACAATTCGTGATATATATTTGAATATACTTCACCGCTATGTACTTTTCTAAAAAATGAGCATTGTGGCAATCATTGACATTTTATTACATTATTGTGACATTTCATTATTTTATTTTCATACTTATTTATTGTCTTTGCTTTGAAATAAAAGAGTTCTCATTATTATTATTATTATTATTATTATTATTATTATTATTATTATTATTATTATTATTATTGTGATAGAGACATTGATTGAACCAGTTTTTTATACAACTCTAGTTTTACCATCTCATGAAATTTAATCTGTTTACATTATTATTATTATTATTGTTATCAATATTGCTATGATCATTCTGAATATTATTTTATTATTATTATTATTATCATCATTCTGATTATTATTATTTATTGTTAAATATAATAATACATATATACGTTTCATTTATTTATGTAGTGCCTTTCATTGGCTAAAATCAGAGGTCTTCTTCTTGCATTTGAACCAAGTCCCACCGGTCGTGATGTTGTTTTATTTTACGTTGTGGGCTATTAATGATACTGCAGCATTTGAGGACAGTAGAAAGAAGGACAACCTAAATAGGCAATCATCATCAAGAGCCACCGCCAAATAAACAATCATCATCATCACCACCAGAAACAACACAACTTGCAACATTTTGTTGGCTCTGTTTTCTTAACGGATGGTTCAAACTGCTGGTCACCTCATCATGTCAGCGTTATGCAACTGACCACGTGATGAAGTCATGTCAGATCACTGAGGGTGGTGGTGATGATGGTGGTGGTGGTGATGATGACGGTGTTGAAAATGTTGTTATTGGCTGGTATGAATTTTGGTTCGTTTTTTTAATTAAATAGATCTATTTAGTTTCATGAATGTTGCGAACTGGGCTGCTCTGTTGTATGGTATTGTATGTATGTTTGTCTTATTGTATGTATGTAATGTATCTTATTGTGTGTATGTATGATTCGTATTGTATGTATGTATGTTTCGTATTGTATGTATGTGTGTCATATTGTGTTGTATTGTATGAGTATTTAATTGTACCTCATTGTATTGTGCATGTTGTAAAAACTTGCGACGCAGTTAGCCCAAATGGAATCTGAGTGGATCCGATCGTGTATGTGAAAATACGAAATTGAACAGCATGAATAATTAATGAAAGTCGTTGGAGCTCCACCACAGCAGACGTTCTAATTAGAATTATTCTTCTTCATTCCTCATTGCGAGAACTTTTCATGATTGCAACTTCAAACGCAACAAAATATTTAACCAGGGCACGATTAGGGCAATAAACAAGTCTCGCATTAACAAAAACTCTAAATTATAAAAATTTTAATTTTTAGTTTAAAATAATTTAATGCACCTTCAATTTTTAGAGAAAAATACCTCTACAACGTACGTAGTTCTTCATTGGAGTTTGTGACATGACTTGTTTGGGAACGCAACTTCAGAACACACAACAACATTTGGAAATGTCCAACTACACACATGACAACAGCACTTTCCAAAAAAAAAATCAACAACAAGAGAACAACAACAGTATCACAAAACGTAAACAACAAAACGTAAACAACGAAACATAAACATCAAAACATAAACATCAAAACATAAACAGCAAAATATGTACATAAACAACAAAACAAAAACAACAAACATAAACAACAAAACAAAAACAACAAACATAAACACCAAAACATAAACAACAAAATATGTACATAAGCAACAAAATATAAACAACAAACATAAACAACAAAACGACTAAATATAAACATAACAACAACGCAACACATTGGCAATTTCAACAACTAACTTGAAAAACGAAAAAATGAAAAAAGGAAAGAGAAGAGAGAGTGAGAGAAGGAAGAAAGGGAAGAGAAAAAAAAAAATTGAAAATGGAGAGAGATAAGGGAGAGAAAGAGAGGATGAGCGGGCAGGCAGGGAAATGCATCACGTACAAACATCAATCAGAGTCTGCTCATCATAAGAAAGTCTCTACAAGCCACTCAAAGTCCACTCCATATATGCGAGTAATGTACAATGATCAACATCATTATCCACTCATCATCACCACCACCACCATCATCATTATCATCTTTATCGTTTTCTTTTTTTGTCATCATGATCATGATCATGATCATGATGATGATGATGATCATCATCATCATGATCATCAGCATCATGCATGATCATCATCATCATCATCATGATCATCATCATCATCATTTTTTAATTATATTCATTATCGTCATCATCATCATCATAATGATCACTATTATCGGTATTGCCACCATTATAAATAACTACATGTTATCTTTAACATATGCGGATCTTATTCTCATCATCATCATATTCGACATACATCATTACAAAATATTATTATCTGAAGTTTTATTCAAAATCATTTTAAAATAAAATTTCATTCTATAAATTATTGAACAAAGTTTCATTAATCTACTGCAACCCACTTACAAATTTGGAGGCAATTGGTAAGAAGACTTAAAAAAGAGATATCCTTATTAGTTGTATTACATCCAATACATGCATATGATATATTCTTTTTAGACGTATTACATCCAATACATACATGCATGTATTCTTATTAGTTTTATTACACTCAATACATATATATGACAATAATAACTCGAAGAAATGCCTGTCGTTGTGTTGAAACATTAGCGAAGGAAGGAAATAAAAAATGTGGCAGCAGCAGCAGTAGTAGTAGCAGCAGCAGCAGCAGCAGCAGCAGTAGTAGCAGTCTAATGATGAGGATGGCAGTGAATGGATCGAGATGAGACGCCGCATTCATTCAGTTGGTCGGTTGGTCGCAGGTCCAGACCGTCTAATAGGCCTGTAATGACTATCCTTCCTCCAGATTTATCGAACGCGTTTATCTTCCAAGGCTTCATCATCGTCATCACAACAACAACAACAACAACCATCAACAACAACAACCACAACAACAACAACAAGGAAGATTTCATCATCGTCATCACAACAACAACCACAACAACAACCACAACAACAACCACAACAACAACCATCATCAACAACAACCAAAAACAACAACAACAATCACAACAACAACAACAAGGAAGATTTCATCGTCGTCAGTCATCACAACAACAACAACCACAACAACAACCACAACAACAACAAGGAAGATTTCATCATCGTCATCACAGCAACAGCCACAAC